GCTGTCCTAAAAATGGGGGGGGGGGGCTGACTTCCCGCCTTAAGTTAATCACAACCACACACAGATTTGAGGAGAAATGTATGCTGTTGACAAGATGAATGACAACCTCAAAGTGGCACCGACCACTGCGATGTGACCTCCGACAAGGGGCGAGGCGTTCCGGCGCACGGCCAGACTAACACGCTGCCTTCCGTGGAGCAGTTTCCTGAAGCTGCCCGTGGACAGACCTGATGTCTGAACAGAAGTAATACTCAGCTCGCAGGAGCTGCACTGAACCCCCCCATAAAGCACCAGAGCAACCTATTTCTTATTTTTTGTATTTACAATTTTTTTTGTATTTGTTTTTTAGAGAGAGAGGGAGGGAGGAGCAGAGAGAGAGGGGGACAGAGGATCCGAAGCGGACCCTGTCCTGACATCAGCGAGCCCGATGCGGGGCCTGAACTCATGGACCCTGAGACCCATGACCTGAACCGAAGTCGGGACGCCCCTACCAGAGCGACCTATTAATCCCTCCACCCGGTTTTCACTACTCTCACTCTAAGTATCCTCGATAATCTGGTACATATCTCCTCTCCTCTCCATAACATTACAGGGCTACACCAGTCTGCAAATTTCCGGCTGTGCTCCTGCTGTCTATGTAAGATACCACGCGAGGCAATATGGGAGGCAGTGGAAAATGAAGCAGACAGTTCAGGAAAGGGAGTCAGGGTCATACACGAGTGTGTCCTAAGAATAAGCAAGTGCCATAGAGGTGTCAGGAGAAAGAGAACACCCTGAGCTTTGGAGAGAGGGGTGGTGTAGGAAGGCTTCATGGAAGAGGGGGCATTTACACTGGGCCTCAAGGCACACGACTGTTTATAGTCATCGAGGAGGGGAGAGATTTCTAGGAAAGAGAACCCAGGAGCGTGGCCTCAAGGGAATGCCGCAGGGCGAGCAGGGACCGAAAGCCAGTGGAGAAGGGAACGGTGGCCTGCAGTGACACTTGTGACAAGGCCTGTCCCTGCTGAGCACAGCCCACGTGGCCACACCAAACCCAACGGAAGGCCTGGCTCTCCTGGAGTTGACCTATGTCACGGGGCGATGGAGAAGGAGGGAAGTCTACCTTGTGACCAGAGTCGCCCTTTCAGAAAATCAAGGACAGTCATGCACAGGGCGGTCTGGGAGGCAAAACTTACGTGGTGACCAATTATAACTGCTTTTTAAAAAGTCTTTACTTTGGGGTTGAAAACATATCCTTCCTATCTGCCTACTCCCCCCTCCTCTCAAATATATTCTGCATCCCATTACTGCTATAATCTTGACAAATCACACAGCATTCGTCTCTTAATGCATTTGAAATCAACAACATGGAAGGAGTTTATCGAACTGCTCAGACCATACCACACAGAAGTCTCTGGGAGGCCCTAAAATACGCCCGTATTGAGTACTGCACACGGGAATAACTCTAGAAAAAAAAAAAATTTGCTATCATTTGTTCTACAGACACTGAAAACCATCTAAACTGAGTTTTAAATTTTAATACATTACAAAAAAAAAAAAAAAACAACCCTGGCTTTGTATACTCCAGCGCTATGACATATCAAAAAATTGAAATACAAGGATTCAAACAAAAAGATTCTTTTTAAGTTACATACGGGGTAGAGTAGGCACTCGCCAAGAAATACCCGAAGCCGGGATCTCTCCTATCAAAGGACCTATGAGATCATTTTCAAAATGCCCACAACAGCCTCTAAATTCTTGCAACAGAGTGGTCAGCACAGGGCATTACCCACACAGCCCAGTCTTCAATTTAAGACACAGCACAAACTCTCCATTCCCCGTAAAATCATCCATCCGTGTAGACACCTGTTTTCACAGAGACTCGCTTTTACTTTGGCCAGATGGCCTTAGGCGTGACAGTGCTAATGCACCACCCACCCGGGAAATCGGTATACTCCTCTGCAAAGCTGTCTGTGCGGAAGGTTCCTAGCGAGCTTCTCCCTGCTTCCCTGCGCGCCCCGGTCACCACCTGCCCCCCGTCCCCAGGCGCACCACTCAGCCACGGGGCAGGGGCCAGTCCATGTGTCTTCGCATCGCCTAAAACAAAGTCAGTGTTCAATAAACATTTTTTGAATTATGGAATAAAACCTTGCTAGATAGGGGCGCCTGGGTGGCTCAGTCGGTCACGTGTCCGACTTCGGCACAGGTCATGATCTCAGGTTTCGTGAGTTCAAGCCCCGCGTCGGGCTCTGTGCGGAGCTGATTTCAGATCCTCTGTCTCCCTCTCTCTCTCTGCCCCTCCCCTGTTCGTGTGTGCTCGGGCTCTCTCTCTCTCAAAAATAAACATTAAAAAACATACAAACAAACAAAAAACCTTACTAGATAAAGCAACAAACCCAGCTCTTTTTCTCTGTGCTCACTTACCTGGGCCAATCTTTCGGAGATATATAAGGCTCAGGAATTCTGCATACTGTTGGCAGAAAAGCCTAACTTTCTAGAGGGTTATAGAGAAGGAAGATCGCAAAACGGTGACAAAACTTTAGTCTCTGAAACTGCTTACGGGTACCAGACCCCAGTTTTTCAGCACAAACTACAATCTACAAACTTGCTGCAGCCTCTGAAAAACAGAAGCATTCCAATCTTATTAGAAACATTTATGCACATTCTAGTTTTGCCCACAGGAAGGGCCTAGAAGCAATGACACCTCAGCAGCAACAAAAAACTTGGCATCTAGAGCTCGGTTTCTAAATACCACTCAGGACTAGAGAAGAAGGCATGCACTGTCAAGAAATGACTGATTACAAGTCTGAAGGGAAAGGTCAAGGTGAATCTGAAGTACTTAGCAGAAATAAGGATGTGCTCAGTGACTGAGGGGGGGGCATGTCAAAAGGACACAGGAACCAGCCTGAAGGGGTTCCACTCCCCCGTTCTGAGATCACTTGAGCACCAGAAAGAGAAAAGCTAGTGATACTCAAGAGAAATGGGCGGGGGAGGAAATCTTACAGACAAATGTCACCTAATAACCACAGGAGCAAACAACACAATCAGAAAACCACAATTCTGCAACCACCAATTTATAACTGGTTCAGGCAAGGATCGACACAGGGCACTACTGAAAGGCTGGAAGAGACAGCACGGTCTCCAAGATCACCCTGCAGGTTGTCAGTTACAAAGGGACAGATGATGGAAAGCTGTCCCTTTATAATGGAAAGATCTAGCAGATACCAGCTCCGGCCAAGGATTTAACTCAGGACCAAGCACGGGACAACCTGCCGAGCTGCTGTGACACAACGGAAGCACGCACGACCTCTGCAGACCTCACAACAGAAAGGCAGGAAATCATCAAGACAAGTCCAAGTTACGGGGCACTGCACAAAAGCACCGGCCTGGACTCTTAAAAAATGAGAAAGGCCACTGTCTTGAAAGATGCACAGAAAAAGCCGAGAACTATCTAGCATGAAGGCAATTAAAGAGACAGGACTACCAAAGGCTATGCTGCATTGGCTCTTTGGAATAAAAATAGCTCTAGAGAATATTTAAGGACATGTGCCCATGCATCACACACTAAATACTATCATTCTGTCCGTGTGAAATTTGGCGGGTGTGATAACGATGACCGTTAAGCAGCGTTTCTATTCTGAGGCAATAATGCTTTAGTACTTAGGGCAAGTGTAATGATACACACAGCTTCTTTCAAATGGTTCTGCAAGACTCAGGCTGTGAGTGTGTGCATGCGTGTGTGTGTGTGTGTGTGTGTGTGTAAGAGATAAAGCGAATGTATTAATTTATCTAAGTGGAAACGTAGACACGTATTTGCTACACTTCATCAACTTCTTTAATAATGGAAATTTCTCAAAGTAAAAAACTGGGGACACTAGCAACAGGGGAAGGTCACTTCGGGGGGAAGGGCAATATGGAGACCAACAGTGCTTTTGCACGGAACTGAGTACGACCTTGTCACATCTTACCCAGCGTGAGGTTTGGCCCAGCTCCAGCCCGAGGTGGAAGGCCAGGTGAGAGGTCCCCCGGGGCCCTGCGCCTCGGCACGGGGGCCTCCGGCCCGGCCCAGCCACCGTGGCTCTGAGGGGACGCGGGCCCAGAGAGCTCCAGCTGCCGGCTCTTCACGAGAAGGCAGCGGTCTGGATTTCTGTGTGCCGCTTCCCCATTCTGAAGGCTTAGTTCGTGCCCACGGGCCCACGTCCGCAGGCCTTCGAGTCTCCTCCCTGCACCTATCTCTCCAGAACTGGGCAGGAACCCAGGCTTCAGTTCTCTCCGGGTTCAAATCACCGCCTCGGGAGAGCCACAGGAATTTCCCTCCGTCTTAGTTTTCACGAACTATCTGCAATATTATGATGTCACTTCCTAATCACACTCGGCATGTATCAACCACAAAAATCAAGAAAGGCCTGAACAGAATTAAATTTTCCAGAAGGCGTTTTTCCAGCGCGAGAGAAATGTTCTTCGATGTCCTCTCTTAAAAGGAAAAGCTACTTTCGCAAGAGACCAAGAGACGTTGACTATTATAATCATTGGCTCACTTGTTTTGTTTCACACAGCCATTGTTTCAATAATAAAAACAAAAGCAGGGCCTTACCCATTTGCCCCAGGGAGGAAAGCTGCCTGCTGGGTAACTCGGCTTCCCCCCACCTTCCTACACCCACTCTTCCTCTTTCAAAAGGGATTTCTGAGCCTGTAATTCGGGAGCTTGGCAACAGCACTTTCAGTCTTTAACCAAACTTTGAATGCAATTTTGAGATATTAAAAGCTTGTACTGTGCTAAATAAAACCATATTTTAGTGAAGACATTTCAACTTGAGAGGTAACGAGCTTAACAGCGCATTCTGCCAGGAAAACCCATTTAAAAGAAATTCCATTTAAAGAATCTACCTTCAGATTGAACTAGGTTCACACACAGCCAGCGAACTAAACCAGCCGCTTCCGTACGAGTTGGACATCCTATGGCACTGGACGTGACCCTCAAACGCACTTAGACGCAGAGCTGGTTTTACCCCGGAAAGACTCCAGAAGTGGAAAAATCCTAAATACGGCGGGAGTCTCTCAGAAGTTGCCAGTGCTCGAAGAGGCAAATATAAAACGCATCGGGGAGACGTGGGAAACTGACCCAAGTCCCTCAGAGTCGGTTCTCCGTAAGTCGCCGACTTGGCAGACATGACAGCCACATACAGAGGGCCTGCCGTATAAGCCACCGTGTTGAGATCTAGACAACGTGACTGTGGAAGACACAGGGACGGGGCTTCTTCAGAAGCAAGACACAGACACACGTACCGTCCACAGCGAAGAAAAGACAGGGAGGAGGTCACGGACAGCAACGCACCGTGCTGACAATAAAAAACTGCTTCAGACGGGGGGGGGGGGGGGGGG